TTGGAGGATTGGGATTCAGTGCATCTAAGGTCCATGTAGCATATTTTTCGCCACAACTTCATGCAAATCATTGTCGACGTCGATATCAGGTAAATCGGCGCATACTGCATCGTCGTTTTCGTTGGAGGCGATCTTGTTATAGAACCAGATCAGGACATGTGCATGGGGCAGTCCCCACTTTTGCCGTTCCACTTAATACATCCAGCAGCGCACAGACCCAACCACCTCGTGTTTCACCATGAAGTTCATCAGCGATTTCGGGTTTCTGCAGCAGAACATGTACTCTGATGTCATACCTATTCACGGGCGATAACCCGAGAAGTGAGAGCTAAAAAATCCCCCCCCTCCCCCCCAAGCTGGATTGCATGTGAATATAAAGAGTAGGTTTGGACGTCCGTACTGACAAACAAAAGGGATTACACCTCCAGCGTACCCGGGCGTATGGCGTGAACTGTCTGTGTATGTGGAGGACAAAAATCAGTAGTCTTACAACGGAAGGTGTATTACCGTCGTTTACAACTGCATCATGCAAAGGAATATATTCTTCAGAGCGCAGTTTGGTCGGATGCAAATGAATGAAAATCGGGCGTCCTGTTTCGATTTCGCATGCGTATTCACAATGCAGTGATGAAGCAATTGACGGCAGTTCAAAAGGGGTTTACTTACATTCTGTCGAAGCATAAGTCGGAAGGAGTAGTAATTCATTCCACTAAATTTCGCGTGCATTTCCTCGTCACTGACTGAATTTATGATCTTAGCGTTGAAGTGATATCCAACGGCACCATCCCGAAAAGTAAATGGATACTGTGTTGAAATCGGTATTGTTCATTCTGTTGCTTAACTAAGCAGGCCCGAAGCTGCAGAACGCGGTAGCCGTGACCGCAACCCGGCTTCCGCAAGCCGAGCTGCACTATACTGAGCTGACATTGGGCGACAGCCCTATTATATGGGTTGCGCGGGGTGGTGGGACTGGTATTAATTGCGTCCAGTCCTCACCCTCAAGATTCCCAGAGTAAGCGGTGACGGCCCTATTATGTGGGCTGTGGGACAATTTTAAGTGGCGTCCAAGTGTTGCGTGTTTTTTTGCCCCAGGGGTGGTTTGCTCCGGCGGCCCATATTGCAGCGGCCCAGAGAGGGTGGAGGGCCTGCTCAAGTGCCTGCGAGGTCAGTGGTGGCGTGGGCACGGCCGTCGGGTGGAGCACGTGCGTTTGAGCGAATGTCGGTCAAGTGGCTCCGCGGGTAGACGTGTGGGCACAAGCGGATGTAGGTCAAGTGGCCGCCGCAGGTGGCGTTGTTAGGCCGGAAAAAATCCGGTTTTTTACCCATCACAGGCGTACCATCGGCATAATTACACAATTGAACAGCCAAAAACCCGACCCTATGCGCGGGTCGGGTTGTGTCCAAATTTCAGCGCAATCGGTGCAGTACTTTCGGAGATTAGATATAACACAGAAAAAAAACCCTTCCATTTTTATATATATAGATGTCAGGTTGGTGGCTGCAACATACAAACCAAGGGATTTAATTTTAATTATAATCAACGGTCAAATGTGTTCTTACACTGAGTTTCGAGCCTTACTCGAACCGCTACTTCGGGTTTACTTTAGGTCTGAGTACCTCACCTGTCTTCCTCGTTCACGTATATTTTATGACTGCTTTTGAATGAGGTTACTTAGGTCTTCTATAAAAATACACTCCCCTAGTAATGTTTACTTAGATGGTACGTTTCTTCTATCGATTTTTGGGTTTACTGTGGGTCTGATTACCTCACACTTGTTATGCAAAATGTTGTTCAGTGTACGTTGTGGAGCGGGCGGTGTGGTGGCACACCGAGGTGCGGATTTTCGCCATGCTAGCCACCTGCAACATACCCGGCTTCCGGTCTTCTTGACTCCCTCATGACTTCTTGCCCAGGCTAGGGAGAAGAGAGTGTGGTAGATGCAGTGCAAGTCCACCATCACTGAAACAGAGACTGCACGCGTGTAACCATCCCTGCTCCCACCCTGCTGTGGAGCGCACGGTGAGCATCGTTGGTCAAGACGGTCAAACCGTCGTCCTCAGTGGTAGCGCTGCATCTGCCCCACTATCGCCACACTCAACTGGGTCCGCCAGAAAAAGAGGGTCAAAGCGGCCGGAAGTGCGGTGGCTTATAAAGCTTACCAGCTCGTTTGGGTGTCACACAAGCTGGACGGCGTACAATGGAACAGGTTGTCACACAAGCAACGAGGACGGCTCAGATCTCAACTGAGTGAGAGTGCCATAGATGCAAAATTAAGGAGCTACACAGTCTTACTCTTCCCGTCCTGAGAGAGAACGACCGAGTGGCCTCGTAAGTTGGCAGCCTCCCATGCCACGTCTGTTAGTGCACCGTGATAGATTATGTGCGTGTCATCCCGTTTCTAATGACGACATGGGCTGGAATTCCGCAAGGACGGAGTGCCGGGAGTAGACCTCACTCTATTCCCTCTACCAGGCACCAGTCCACTGTCCGAGCCGATCAGCCATCTGACGCTAGATTTGGGCGCAGGTGACTGGCGCGGCATGAGTCTGAGCCAGGGAGTACCATCACACCTCCCATGCGTGGTATTTATGAAGGGACA